TGTGAGCTCCACGCGGCGATTACCGTGGCAGTCGAGAATCATTCAGGGCTGATGGCGACGGCTCCCGACGATTTAGAGCGTTCTTTCGCAATTTTAATATCACGATTCGGTTGAAGAATCAATTCTCTTTCGTCTCGTATTTACCATAGAATTTGTACTATTCATTTGTTTTCCCTGTTTTGTTTGTACAGCTTTGTTCACCCCATTACCCTAATTGTATCATTAACATTTGCCTGCATAAACCAAACATACATAAATAATGGATTACACGCACAATTGCATTCGCGTCCTATTAGGATAAGTATCAATACTAATCTGAGTGGATGCATGAGGTATATGCCTCTTATACTCTTGCCATATTTTTGAGATTAAAAAAAAATCGACAAAACGTTAGATTGTGCGTGCAGCTAAATTTAATTGTGTCAGAGAAGTAAATAAAACAATGCCACGTTCATGAATCTCACTTTATGCCTCATCATTCCGTGTGTCTTACAACCTCTGGGATACTGTCTTGCTGACTGACACAATGGTCATATCGTGTGCATGCGTGGGGTTACATCGAGAGACGGAGAGAGGAACACGTGGAACATAGCACACAAAGACAAATATCCCCCGTATAGCCTGAACAGCCACGGCACACGAGGGGGTGGGTGGCCAACACCACGCCCCACAGCCTTTGTATCCCCAGTAATGATGTTTACACATCACACTAGGTAATCATTTTTTTAGGCTGAGTCGACCTAGGGGAGGCCCACGACGAGGTCAGATAATCGACACTGATGAGCGGGAATCGAACACGGGTCGCCAGGTTCGTAGCACAACGCGCTAACCACTGCACTACCGCTCCCCACTTAGCACAAGGATAGAGATATATTGACTTGATAAGAGTGGGCTTGGGCCGGGCACGAGAAGGAATTATGGCTGGGTGGCCAAGGACAGCCAAAGGGGGACACACACCCAGGATCATGCCCATCGCGGAGATGGAGCGGTGAAATCAGCCCGTGTGCAGGTGTTAGATGGATTGTTGCATTGCAATACCACGATAGATGATGACAGCTTGGAGCGGCATTCATCCAGCAGTGTATTGATCATGGCTGATGATGATTGTGATGCTCATTATTATTCGTAGCAAAAATATGTAGCGGTCAAATCTGTTGGCTCTTCTTCCTTCGTTCATTGGAGGAGTTGATGGTTTTCCAATTTAAAGGTGAATGCCGGTTGTTGTTGAGGTACCGACGGCACACCCACAGAAGGGAAGGCAATCGTGTTTTAAGAACGTGATCTAAAAATACTTACAATACTGATCTTGCGCCACAGGCCTCCCCGTCAGTAACTAAGCGCATTATATCAGAGTGCAGTGATGTGCTTGGTGACCAGAACCATATAAGTGAATGTGTGCGTACGTTGACACCCTATTCACACGGTTAAATGATGGCCAATTGCTGACTTTGGAGGTTGAAATCCCCATGTCCTGGTGTCTTAACGGGGTGGTGGATTGTGTTAGTTCTTCACACAAAGGGTAAAATTAAACCAACGGCATTGAGTTTTTGAAAGACTCGTACGAGTGAGTCACCTACGCTGCGGATCATTGGTTAATCGTAATTTACGGGAATTTATTTTGTATACATTTAAATTTCCTTAGCATTAGTCAACTTGATTCAGATGAAAGGGCATTGATCAGCACGAATTTAAATGGTTTATCAAAATGACGTCTCTTGAACAGCATGACCTCCCTTCACAGGAATTAAAATCTTCAATTCGCTTCCGAAAGTTGTACGAAGTGTATAAATGTGGCAATTATTCAGTCTATTCCCATGGCCACCAGCTTATTAAATACAACGCTTTGAAATGAAAGTATTAGAAAATTATACAAATGCCCAATGGGAGTTTCAATTATTTATTCTGATAACATAGAAAAAAACTGAATTAAGTGAATCTTTTTTAAATATGCACTTGCAGGATAAAGCATGAACAAATTGTGCTACGTAAAGTCTAGTGGCTTTATGCGTCAGGGTATAATGCAATGAAATGAGCTCACCCGAGTCTTCCACAATAGCTGGCAAAAATCGCACCTGCAGCCTCGCCCACTGCGTGTGAGAGGCAGGGGAGCGTTACAAACAAGCACCCTTCACCCCTCGAGCGAATTGTCAGAGCGGGCGGCACAATCGCCACCGCTGACAACAGCTTCTGTGCAAAATTGTCCGCTGCAGAGTGGTCGTTGAATTCCCCCCCCCCCCCCCGTGGCATGATTTTGCAAGATTGTGCACGCAGCACGTCAAATCACAAACTTTAAATGGACATGAATTGTTGAGCGCAACTAAACTAATGTAGGCTTCATGCATTTGAGATGTGGTGTTACAGAAGGGATGGGAAGAGTACACCAGTGTTAAAATACGAAGAGCGTGGATGCTTTTGCAAGAGAATGGCTACAAGCAGGAATAACTGATGAGAAGTAAGGTGACGTACGCAGGACAATACCTCGGAGGGTCGCACGTCTGGAGAAATGACCGAGATGATTCCGCGAGGGGAAAATGGGAGAAGGAAAAAGGGAAAGAGGGAAGGACACGGATGGGTCGGTGGGACAGTGTGAGATCGCTGGATGGGACTCTCCATGAGAGACACTGAAGATCGCGAAAGATGGAAAGCGTCTAGCATAGACATCAACCCTCGGTAATGAGCATGTCAAATGGAAACTATAGAATTATGATGATGATGATGATAACGGTAACTTTCTCTATGTAACCTTCGCTTTTCAGGCGTTCTTCAAAACAAACGTTACCAACTTTCAGTTGGCTCTCACCTCGTTAAACAAAGAACAGCGCTGAATCGATGAAATGTTGCCGACACCTGTTGAATTAAGCACACGACACCGCCTCGTGTTGCTGTGTCCACTCCTAATGAGCAGCCCTTTCCCCGCACAGGAGCCCCCCTAAGTATGAAGGTGTCTCGGTAATCGATGCTCGCAGCACCTCGTGCTTCCCGCACCGGTGCTTATGGGCCTGCGGGGTGCAGCGTTATCGAGAAGGGAATAAACCACGGCCGTACGAACGAGGGGGAGCGAGAGTTTCCCCCACGCCTGCCCAGGGGAGGCCCGTATGGAAATTCAAGAGGGGTTTTTCAAAATGGAGCCACACTCACCAACCCTACTAATTCAAGGGCCACTTTAAGTGGTATCGGCTGCCCAATGTTTTAGAGCAAAAATACCGACATATAAACGTTGGGTTGAAGAATAAATCTTTGACCATTTTCGCTTTGAAAACATTTGTTCGCGGTATTTTAAAGGGGTTAAAACTCTCAAGCCTACTGCTTCAATCGACTGAGTTGGCAAGCCCCAGGTGGTGAGTGTGCTTGTCCTGATCCCTGGTGCAAGGAATTACATTTCAGCTGAGCTTGCGTTTATTTGTTACACGGATGGCCCCGTGAAGCCAGCTTCCCAGCTGTTTGTACGAAGGAAAGGAGATTCTGTTGCACGTGAACTTGGCAGCAAGAAAAAGACAAAAACATCACAAGATTAAACATCACAACAATCGGGGGGGGAAGGGGGGGGGTGCCTGGCCCCCTTCTGGCCTGTGGTTCCCAATGCAGTTGCACCACTTGCACACTCGACAGCTTGCACCGCTGACGAAGAAGCCTCTGGCTCTGTGGTTTGCACTGCCGCAGGTAATGAGGTCCCCTAGAGTTTGTTTTATCGCAGTGGGATGGCCGTACAACAGAGCAACCACAAGAGAGACTTGTTGTGCGCAAAGCCAAAGCACAGCGTTTCTGTGAGGCATTCTAATGGTTTATTGATTTGCTTATTTGTTTTGTTACTCCTAAGGTTTCCGTACCTTGTGTCCCCATTTACGCAGGGTTTTTGGCTCAGGGATGGGGGGCGCCTTCAAAAGACGGTGATGGCAAATGTGGGGAAAAAAAAAAAACGTAAACTAAAAGAATATTTATACAAAAAAACAAACCTGAGTGAAATAAAATGAGAAGCTTGAACGACGTCAGCTGCCCTTGCCGACGGTGTTCTGCGGCGTGTTTAATCTCGCGCTAGCGGCGCGGCTGTTCCCCGAGGCTCTCGCTGCCCAAGCCTCACTCTGTTGACCCGGTGCACCGCCGCCCCTTTGGCTGCGCGAGCCGGCGTGCGCCCGACGCACGCCCACGTTGTAGCGCTCGTCCAGCGTCGCTTCCTGCTCAGATGAGCTTGGAGCAAGCACGCCCTCATCTCCTTTCATTAAAGCTCGAAGCCGGTGGTGGAAATTCCACTTGCCTATGGAAGATTCCCTTTGTCCATAAGTGGAAGAATCCACTGTGGCTTATTGTACCCCGAGGGATGAGTTACCTCCACTCCTGAAGGGAATATAGACTGCCAACCTTCCAATTTGCAGGCCTTGTGCTCTAACTGCTGTGCCACTACTTGGCTGGATTATTTGAACACTGCAATCGGCTGTGTTCACGTTCGCGGTTGGTCGGCCCAAAATGTCTCAAAGCTCAAGCGAGCGAGAAGTGGTGCTCACTCATGTCGGCTCTCCGGAGGCAGCGGTGGAAATTCCACGTTCCTACGGCAGGATGTATGTACGTGCAGTATGTTGAACTTCTTTCGCACCGTACGTAGCCAACTGTGGTAAACGGATCAAGTCTGTCCATTGTACCTAATGTCGTACACTCCATTATGATATGAAGTACAATATAACATTTTGAATTATGCGAGGCAAAAGTGTTCCTCGTACACCCGAGCGTTCACACTTCCTTCCCGAGGTATCTGCAGTTGCCCCACCAATGGGGGCACTTGCAGCTTCTGACTTGTCGAGCGCTTGTGGCATCGTAAGTAAACGGATACTGTTGTAGCCATCACATGGATGGCTGATATCCAGATTGAACCCAGACCTCAGCAGTGCCGTCTAAGTGCTCTGTGACCCCGTATTTAGTCCACCTGGAGCTGGAAAGTGACCGTCTCAGCTTTTGTCTGATCGTCTGTCCTACCCTTGTCTTCGATCTCTCCCCCCCCCCTCCTGTAGGATCATTCACGAGGATGGCTTTTCGGGAGAGGACGTGAAGCAGTACAAGCCCGTGGTGTACAGCAACACCATCCAGTCGCTGGCCGCCATCGTCCGAGCCATGGACACCCTTGGCATCGAGTACGGGGACAAGGAGCGGAGGGTGAGTGCCCGCGGTTGGTTTGCGCTTCTGGTCGTTGACGAGTCGACGACCCTATTACTCCGCCCATGGCTCGTGGCACGCCAGTGTGAAGATACGCACAGGGGCGTTCACCATTAGTTATCGGCTCACATGATGGGGCGAAGGTTTCCAATTGCAATGGATTTAGAATAATACAAAAAACGATGATTGAGATCACCTTCCAGCGCCGCTGTTGTTTTATTTGTCATAGGCTTTAAGGGGGAGGGCAACCTACTGTACAGATTAGAGACAACTTTAAGCGGTCAAAAAGTAAATCCCAAGTGATTTTTCTGCTCAAATGAGAATGTAGGCGGTGCTCATCACCTGTTTACAACCCTGAGTCTGTGGTGGAAATTCCTCATTCATATGGCAGGGCTGAGTCTATCCATAGGACAACCGCTGTTGAATTCTCAACAAAAGTGGTGCTTATTTTGATCGACCCCAGAGGGATGATGGGTTGAGTCAACCCCCAAATATGATTTTTAATTTGTGAACTTCTGGCTCCGAGGCAGTTTGCCTGGCCGGCCGGTGACCCTCAAAGGGTCGCCAAGGTAACTGCGGTGTGCCCACTGTGAGCAAAGAGCTCTCAAATGGTGAGCGCCGGTTCTAAAAGCAGGGGTGCTGCAATAGCGAGATGTTAACTACCTCACCTGGTATGCAGGAGGTCGTGGGTTCGATTCCGACCCTGAAGCCTGCTGTATATTTGGAATTTGCATGTCTCTGTTGCCCCGTGGTCACTTGGCCTTTTCTCAGGGTCCCCCAGTTTTTTACCTCCACATTGAGAAACGTTGCGTTTAGAGCATTTGGCTGCTATAAATTTCCACGTGATAAGCCACTTCGTTGGGTTATCATTTGTGGCCAGGTTGCTTCTGAAAAAGAGATAAATAGCTCAGTAGGTCTTATCTGTTAAAAAAAAAAAAAAAAATACTAATAGGGTTTTCCCCCTTTTTTCTGGCAACAAAACTGACATCTTTTGCAAGGAATCATGTTAACATTAACCACAATACTTGCAGTCAAATGCAAACAAAAAACAATACTCTGATAATTTATGCATTGTCCTTGAAACTGATTGGTCCACACCAGAGACAGCTTTTCTTAGAGCCTAGTCTCATATGGTGTTTGACCAGATGACGCCAAAAGGTGAAAAATACTTGAGTTTTTAGAAGTTTAAGGAAATTCGATTTTGGAGGGTGGTCAACAGAGGTTCCTTTCCACCAGGTATTGCAATTGCAACACATTTTTTTTCAATGCATGCTTTCTCAGTCACAAGGCAACGATAAAATTTACTAAAAGTTTACAGCCCTTTTGCGGCAAGTCTTCTACTGGATGAAGGTCTCCCCACACTGTCGGTCATTGGTGTTATGGGATTGTTTAACCTTGGTATCGGAGAAAATTATATTGTGATCACCCACAGCGGTGTAACAGTGATCAGCTACGGCAGAAGAATTCGTTCTGCCGTGTTTCAAATCTGATTCTTCTGCCGTAGCTGATCACTGTTACAACGCTGTGGGTGATCACGATATAATTTTCTCCGATACCAAGGTTCTTTGCAAACCCACGGGCTTTTTTTTGATCAGAGATTTGTTCACGAGGAAATTCAGATCTACAAACATAGACACAATTTCAACCGAGAAGATGGTTTCAAATTAAGCAACCACTGGAAAGATGTTCTAAATCGAACCAAACATTAAACTAATTTTCAATGGTACAGTATATTTTTCAAGTAGTGGTACCCCAAACTTTCGCAGCTCTTAAAGATTCCCTTTTCACACCATCAATAGGTAAGCTCCCCCTCCCCCCCTCGCCAACCGGCATGTTCACCCGCACGTACACCACCTCTACACCGTTCATCATGCTAAGTCGGCCAATCAAATGCTATTTTTATGCTAATTCCTTTGTCAAGGCACCTTGTTTCCTCGCACACAGCTTAAAGGTCGCGGTCTGAGCGTGGCTGTGTTTCACTCCAGCGCTGTCCTCGAGACAGTCTGGTCCCTTCACCTGATGAAGGCCGCTTGTGTTGTGGCCGAAACGTCGTGATTTTTGTTGTTTTATTTTTTACCTACGTGACTTTACCGAATAGAACCAAAGAGTATGGATCCTTGCAGTCACGAAAGCTTTAAATCTAGAATTGGTCTTCCGCTTACAATCACGATGCAATTAACGAGCTTCTTGAAACGCAAAAATAGTGGCCCCATCATCTCTTGTCACAAAATCACGGAGTCATTATCCATCTCAACCTCTCACAAGGTACTAGAGCGTGAACCAGTGGGGAATTTAAAAAAAATATCGTGTCATTATTTCTTTCGCTAACAACATGCTATGAATCAATGCCCCAAGTATTTTAATTGGTTTGGAGAATCGCCAGCTTTAATTAAAACATTCGGCGGCGCCTCACTGTAAGTAATTACCGCGTGGCTATTTAATATTGTCACGAGAACCAGCGGAGAGGCGATATGCATCTGGTTCTTTTAGTAGTGGGGAGGAAAAAAAATGACTCGTGCGTTTTCTCACCCGTTCAATTGCGAAACAAATCCGCACGACCGTATTATATTCAGGATCACTCTTCCCTTCGTTTACAGTTAATTTTGAACGCCGTGCATCACGTGCCCTAATTGCTATCTAGTGCCTCCTCAGATTCCGGTGTTTATTATTATTTTTATAAAAAAACAAAGTAGTGATGTTCGCAGTACATCTGATGTGCCACCCTTAAATGGGACAGCGCGCGGCTTCGCCCCTGTTCACACTTCGCCTTGCTCGCTCAATGCCGCGTTCAACAGGTTTTAGCGGCAGTCGCTTGCTGATAATAGCTCGTTGGGGTTACTTGAACATTAAAAAACTCCTCGTCCCACGGGACAGCTGCCGATGATTAAAAAACAACAATATTTTGCCGAAATATATGTACAATATATGCACAGTAGCTGCATGAACAAAACATATATCGAGAAAAAAATCACGGGAAAAGTCGCGGCTCTTCTAATTTGGTTATTTATTCAGCAGGAATTTAAATGAACGATTGTTGGAATTTCCTTTGCTTTTCGTAGCTGCCTTGCAGTGTTGTCCATTGGTGGGTTATTATAATAACCACGGTGACATATAAGCTGTTTTGCTAAGAATTTTACCATGAGCACAGAGGTAGGAAACAATGAAATTGAGTTGAAAAATAAATCTGGTGGCCTCACGTAAACCCACACGTTTGCGTGGAGATGCAGGAAATTAACTCTTGACAACTTAGCACCGCGCTTGTTTTACTCGTCCGTCTCGGTAGTTTTAACCCGAGAGAGAGAGAGAGCGCAAAATCGTGACGTCCGCTTCAAAGAGAAGCCGTGCCTGGGGACAATTTCACGAGATTGCCCAATTTGTGCCTCAACAACGAGCCACGTCAAATCGCCTCAAACGTCCCCGCCCCCCACCCATCTCGCTTTGGGAAACGAGTTCATTAAAATGGCCGCGCACGCGGTGGCGGTGGCGAGAGAATGGATCGTCGTGATGGGAGAGAGCGAGCGAGCGAGCAAGACAGCGGTTCCCGCAGTACGGCCGTCGTCGGCGGATCGCCCAGCCGGACGAACATTCGGCCACGCGTCACGGCCAAGTTTTTTTCATTTCAAGTTTCATTTATTAGGTATGGCCCTGTGAGCCATGCGGCTCTTAAGTCGGGTGCAACCGCAACAAACAAAATTTGAACACAGAACATCTTAAAGCGACGACGCGTAACAGACACATCCTGGAATAAACCAGAAAATATTCCACGCAAAAAAACGTATTAAAACGCTGTGTGCAAAAATCAATGTGGTGCAAGCCAACAACAGCAACCATAAGACAATTTAGATTAACCATATGTTTTCGAATCACCAAAATAAAGCTATAAAAACAATGTAACAACAATAATCATAGGAACTGTGAATTTAAATTTAACAATAAACGATATACATAACACGTACGACAAAACCTGCAGCCATAGCTGGCAGCACGACACTCTCAGTGTATGATGTGGGAGTGAGTCAGCAGCAGTGTGAGTGAGTGTATGATGTGTGAGTCAGCGCACGATGTGTTAGTCAGCGCATGATGAGTGAGTCGGTGTATGATGTGTGAGTGAGCCAGCACACGATGAGTGAACCTGTGTATGATGAGTGAATGGGTCAGTGGTTGTGCGAGTGAATGATGTGTGAGTGAGTAAGCGCATGATGAGCGAGTCAGTGCATGATGTGTGAGTGAGTCAGTGCATGATGTGAGAAAGTCAGTGTCGGCTCCCTCTGCTCGCGCCGTCGCCCCCCCCCCCCCCCCCGGCTCCGTCGCCCCCCCCCCCCCCCCCCCACCACGTGCTGGAACATTTCTCAAATTCCCAAAAGGAGCGCCCGATATTGTTGCGTAAATCGTGGCGATCCGTGTCCTGCCATGTGTATATGTTATATCAGTTGCTGAATACGCTCTCAGCATGTGCAGCAAAACGTCGGACTGCATGCCGAGCGACAGGCAAAGGCACCAGCCCAACCCTACGGAGAGCTTCGCGGTAGTGAGTTGTACGGAATTCCACCTGTTCAGACAACATTCTTCTCATAGTGGTGCGTATTTTATCGGTCCCCCCTCCCGCTAAGATGTTAATTTCACGCTTCTTCTTCTTCATCATCATCATCTTTTCTTCCACACGTCACCCGAGGTGCAGCCGCGACTAGACCGTGCCTCGCTGGAGTCGTTTCACACCCCACAAGCTGCCTCGTCCCGGAGGTTAACGTCTGGCAGGCTCCATGTAATTCCGTATACTCAACCGTATCCTGTCTACGGATTAGAAGACGACACTCCCCAAATGTGTACCCGGTGGCAATAAGCGCACGCAAATCTTTCCACATGCACACACGCCTACCCAATTGCAAGATGAACCCCAATGTTTTTCTTAAATGCAGGGGTGAATATATATTATACAGAGCACTCCACCTGGATGTAAATTGCATCGATTGGTTTTGCTTTTCAGACAATTTGTGCACTTG